ACCCAGGTAATAATGGTTTAAATAAGTGTATTTCTCTTTCACATCAAAGTTTGGGCTGCTCGCTGTCATCAGGAGCCGTGCAGGCTCTTTCATATTTCCCTTTCCCACCCCAAGTGTTGCCCTTGTCTAAATGGACCAAGTTGTTTGGCTGCCACCTCTGCTTTCCAGCCATGGGGAGGGAGAAGAAAGGGCAAGCATGAGCGTAAGCATCTACCCTTTAAGAACACAACCCAGAAGTTGCACCTTCAGCCTTGTTTACAGCTCATTGGCCAGAGCCTGGTCACATGATCACACTCAGCTGCCAGTCAGCCTGGGAAGTGTAGTCTTTGCCCTTCTGAAATTCCACGACCTTGGAAGAATGGGATCCTGAGGACACTTGGCGGGACTCTACTACCGTGGGAAGAGAGCTTTCCGGAGCTTTCCAAGATCTGAGCAGGAATTTGTCTACCTGCAAAACTCATATCTAATCACTGAACCACAAAAATTGTTAGGATGCTACCTGGGGTAAAATATTTTTTATTTTTCTGTTAGGCAATAAGCTGTCCCCAACCCACTCCCCCCGCCAACTCACTCCCATCACCACACAGTAACCACTGTTACCCACCTGTATCCGTTCGCAGTGATCTCCTTACTTACTAGTACACAATCATAAATACACATATAGGAGGGTTGTGTTTGCCTGTTTTTATTGTAATAGAATAATAGCAGACTACACTTTGTATCTGGCTTTTTTCACTTCACAGTATAGCATCCGCATTCCTACAGATGGGAAGATGTAGATCTATCTTCTCTTTTCCTGATCTTTTATGCACTGAGATACAATTTATCATAAACAAAATCTTATATACACTGATTTCTTTTTAGTGCATTCTTTTTTCCATACTTTCGTTTGCCTCTCTCTCTGCCCATCCTCCTGCACTGTTCTACTAATCCATGTTAGCTACTTGCTTTGTGTCATTCATACATTTCTCTATATTCATATAACCATGTAAATATCTATCATCTAAGCATTCCTAGGAGGATTTCTCTGAAGGTTATTCTTCCTGCTTCAAACTCATTCCCACAATTTTCCCAAGGCCACAATGGATCACTTACTACCCAAAACAAATAAATGGTACATGTGTATATATTTGTACACACACACACACACACACGGCACTCTGGCATCTTTGAGTCTCCAAATAGCATCTTTGAGTCTCCAAATACAGCTGCTTCATAGGTGATATGAATTGGGATGTTGAGGCTCACCAACTCCACAGTGTTTGGAAGATTGGGGCTCTAACAAGAGAAGTTTTGTCCCTTTGCCCAGGCATGTGTCTGGAGGGCTGCCCTGGCATGTGTGTTTGGGAGGCAGGGGATGGTGCAGGGGTGGCCACTATACTTCTGGGTATAGCTCAGGGGCAGATGCCTAAATCCTACCATCTGAGAGTCATCCCCACTGTGTTCCCCCACCCCCCCTCCTACCCCCAGGATGAAATGTTCTGGAAATTTTCATCTACCAAGCCACGTCATTTATTAGACAAAACCTTCCTATACAGGACATAAGATGGCAAATACATACATGGTACTTTTAGCACTTTCATATTTTCACTGAGGTATATTTGGCTACAACTGTTATTTAAATGTCAAGTATAATTTGAGGAAGTACAATATTTTATATTAGTATTAGAGAAGAACAGGGGCTTTCTTATTTCTTAAACCACAGTATTACTGAATATTTGTAATACAATTTTCATCTTCTGTGTAAAAAAACATTTATATAAGTAATTTGTATTTGAAGTAGTTAGAAAATAAAAATAAAAAGATAGAAAAAAAAGAAATAAATGTAACCTGTAACCCCACTCCCCAAAGATAATAATCAAAGGTTTGGAATATATTTTCATTACTTTCTTTTAAGCATACATTCATATAACTATGAAGGTATTTGTAATACAATTGAAATGTTAGAAAAATATCTCTTGAGTTATTGCTGAATAAATGGATACAGATGGAACCGAACTGAAGAAAGTCCAAGGAGTGGCCAACTCTAAAGGCCTAAAGGATTTTAATTTCAACTTGTGAGCTTTGCGGGGAAAGTACTCAATCAAATCCACAGTAAATCCTATTGTTGAACGAACACAGACCTCCTTCGTTAGTATAAGCAGTTTTTAAAAATCACCATATATGTGAAAAGATTCAATAGTCCAAAAGAAGGGTTTATTCTGAGGAACTGGAAAAAACACTCCCCAATGAAACAAAAATATGAAATGGGAAAAAAGTTTTAAGCAAAGTCTCTAGGATATATTTTTCAGTGGAACTTGAGATGTATTGCATCTTTAAAAAGATCTCATTGTGGGAGATTATAATTTGAAACACAGTTACAAAGCCAAATTTTGACCAACAAAATAAGACCCGAAGCAGAGAGGCATGGAACAGACTGACATACCTCCATGTGATGTTGGGGGGACGAGAAGAGATAAACCAAATAACTTACGTACTTACATGCATAGCCCATGGACACGGGCAATAGGGTAGTGAAGACACTTAATGCAGGAGCTGCCCCCTGGTGGTCAGTGCGCTCCAACAGGGGGAGCGCCGCTCAGCTAGAAGCCAGGGGATGTTGGACTGCTGGTTTCGCCTGGCCTGCGGGGATCAGGCTGAAACCGGCAGTCCAACGTCTCCCAAGGAGTCCCGGATTGCAAGAGGGCGCAGGCCAGGCTGAGGGACCCCTCCCAAGTGCACGAATTTTGTGCACTGGGCCTCTAGTATATTAATAAAATTCTGGAAGTTTATTTTATTAAAATTAAAGGATAAGCCAGATATTTTAATACTAAACACATAGAATAACTGTCAAATTGCTTAGAAACTTTTATATAGTTTCTGAAACACTATCAACTTCTGAACATACCTGCTGCAGCCTTCAACAATTATGGCCAATTCAAGGCCATATCACCTTGGTGATGGGGAAAGAGGAGATTTACAGAGATGAGAGAAACGGGCCCAAGTGTACCAATAGCTGAAAGGACCAAACTTGTCAATTAAAAGGTAGATTGTTAGACCAGATGGCAGAACAAAATCCTGATACACGCTGCTTACAACACTGATGTTAGAGTGTGGCCAGGATGAGGGACCCCTCCCAAGTGCACAAAATTTGTGCACTGGGCCTTTAGTATATTAATAAAATTCTGGAAATCCAGGCATCCACAGATTTGGTGATATGGCCTTGAATTGTAATTTGAGATCATTATGGACTTTTTTCTTACCTTTTGGCCTCCCTTTTTTATGACCAGGTGCTATTGACCATGTACCCCAGGATTCTGATGTAGAAACCTAATCCCTAGTGTGAGGGGGAGACTTTGGGAGGTGATTTTGTCATGAGGTCAGATACCTCTTCAATGGGTTTAGTCGTTAAGAGAGGCCCCAAGGCGGGGCCCTTGACCCCTGCTACCAGGTGAAGACACCACGAAAAGATGGCCATCATGAACCAGGAAGCAGGTGCTCACCAGACACCAAATCTGTGGATGCCTGGATTTCCAGCCTTCGAAACTGCAAGTGTTTGTTTCTAAGATACCCAGTCTATGGGTTTCTGTGATAGCAACAGAACGGACCAAGAAACCAAGTTTTGCAAGATATTCCTTGTTTACCTTTCCTCAGCATCTCCTATGACTACCCAGGTTTCTCCTTTTTTAAGTTCTTCATCCAAAGTATGTGAATGGGGGCCTTTGAGTGGCTAGATGTAACATTCTAAGTTGCAAATTTAGTTTCTGCAGTCCTCAAGCACGTAGCTCCACAGATAGGGCAGCTGGTGGAGACCGACACCCACTGGTCCCGCCCTACAGGCCTGCCCTCTGCTCACTCTCTCTGGGAGCTTTCAGGATGATCTTCATTTTATCTTAAATTTCACTACCTTGCAGGGAAGGTGGATGAACTACATTCTAGGTATGTAGCAACATGAACCTCACAACAGCGGGTGGAACGTGATGATACATACAATGTGTCATGCCTTTTCCATAATGTTCAAAAACATGCAAAACTAACACAAAACAGTAAATTGTTTAGGAATATGTATACAAGGAATGGGCAAAAGTAGGTTTACAGTGGTGAGTGCGTGGAAGTTTATTTTATATTATTCTTGTTACATATTTTTCCCTATGAACTACTGTAAATCTACTTTTGCCAACCCCTGTATATGGCAAAATTGTGAAGGAAAGCAAGGAAAAGATGAACCCAAAATCCAGGCAGTGGCTCTCTCTTTGTGGGGGATGGGGATGCAACAGGAGAGAGGCCCAAGGGATGGGGGAGAGGGGGTCTGAAGTATTGGTAATGTGCTGCTGTTCCAGCTGGGGGGTGAGAACATGGGTATTCTTTTTATTTTTAAAAATACTTGACTATTTTCACACATGTAAAAATGTCACCTTGTGGTTGGTTGTCTAGCAACGGCTCACAGGTCAGCATATTGGGAATATGGTAGCTGTGGTGGCCACTCATGGCCCAAACTGCCAGAGACGAATCAGGGATGGGATGGGATTGGGAGCTCTACATCTTCTCTAAATACACTGAAGCACCTCTGGACTCATCTTCACACCTCATGGGGGGCGGGGGGTGTGAAGATGACACCCCATGACTGGCCGGCACTGGCTGCTCTGAGGCTTGGATCCCAACATTGCTTGCCTGTCTACTCAGTGCACCTGACTTGGCCGAGGCTGCTCTCAGAGCCTTTGACACCACCGTGTGGACAGATAGGCTTTCTGATCACCGGCTCCTAAACGATCCCCAATCTCCAGATGGTGCTGCCTTAATAAGAGACTCAATTTCACTCCAAAGTCCAGCATCAGCAGGTCTCCGTGCCCCGCAGGCATCCTCCCGAGGAGCTGCTGTGGTTCTCCAGGCATAACCCCGGCACCCAACAATGATGCCTGTGAACGTGATGAACTGAACTTTTCACCAGCCGATTTCCCTCCCCGAGGTGATGACAAGTGTCTTAAAGACCAGCCAAAGAAGGAGGCGCGCGAACAGCAGAGCTGTGCCCAGGAGAGCTTTTATTTGTACGGAACAGTTTTAAAAATACAGAATAAAATAGCTTTTATCTCTACTATTATTCACAACGTCTGGTCCAAATATTACATATTTTTAAAATACTTAAACGTTTAATGAAGCCATGTTAGAAAAACAATATGAAATTTCTTTTTAAAAACTCCATAAAAGAATTACACATCTCAAAAACAACCCCACCCTAAACACCCTCGGTATGCAAAATAAAAAAACGAACAAAACCCCAAAAAGGTACAGAGCCAAAGTCAGCCACAAAAACTCAAGGAAAATATAGGCATTCCCACTGTGTTAAGAACAGTCAGAAATTTATTAACGTGTCAAACAAAGGTTGTTACGCACGAACGAAAGAGGGTATTAACTTGAACTGTCAGTAACATGACCAGGCTGGTGAGGGTGTCCTAAATGCCAGAAAACACACACAATTCTAAGGACGCTGGGAGTTACGTATGCAGAGTGACGACGAGGCACAGTCAAGAGCAACCTAGAAGAACAGGAATGTGTGTGAGGCTGCTGAAAAGGGCGTGCTCTCTGGGTCCTTGGGCGGAAACGTTGGCAAAACGCGCGCGGTCTTCTTGCACTGTCGGATGGTGACTGCAGGTCGGGTAGCGGGGGGAGATGTTCTGTTCTTCGTGTTCAAGTCGTAAGTGGACAGAGCACAACACATGCAGCAGGTGAAAATCCAGGCTCTTCTCCAAAGCCAACGGCCAGCTCCCCGGAGAACTGTCAATGCTCAGGCTCGTTCGCACAGCCACGGTGTCCAGGAGGCGTGGCTGGGTGCACACCAGGCACCCAGTGACAGCCACACCAGGCCTGGTGTCTGCAGCCGAGCGCACACCCCAAGCACAGCGGCCCACAGGATGCTGCCTCTCCTCGCACCGGCTCTGGAACAAGGCTCCTGCCACAGCTCCCTTTTCACCTTCTATCTGGCCTGGCCACTCTTAGCGGCATCAGTATTAAGGAAGATGATAGTCGCCAACTTCAAGTCTAGGTTGCTAGTACCAGTATTTCAGCAGGGACATGAGTTAAAGTAATAACAACTTAGCTGACGGTCATAAAATATACGCATGGGTAAATAAAGTATACACACATACTAGAGATTCATCAATGGAGAAATTCTATCATCACATGACATTGTCATGAAAATTATATCATTCCCTCCCTGGAAAACGGTAACTATTATCCTGGGCAGAAATGTTATTTTACTATATGGAAATACTGCAATATTCATGCATAAACCAAGTTGTCATCATGAAAGTCAGTGTTCTACAGTATAAAGCAAATCCTGTGTGTGAATTTGTTACCATGAAAACGGGAAACCATCAGGACCCATGATGCTTCACTGCGGCTGACCTGGTTAAGCCACTTCTCTTGCTTTGATCCATCACAACCAACTCACTACAAGTTAACATTTGACGCCCTCTTAAGAAAGATTTGATTCTAATGAGTCTGCACTGAACTCCCTAGTGAGAATGAGAATGAAAATTGCTTACAAAGACTGGAGCTATTTCCCAATTTCTCTGTGAACCTTGTTAGGTATTTTATTAAAACCGGTGGTGGGGCCCCATGACCCACCCGCACTGGGATACGGCAGCATCAACTATCCTTATAAATACTTTCCATTTCTTTTCTATATCAAAATGGTTCACATACATGTGAAGATGGTGGGTAGGTGGTCACTGTGGAAACTGGAAGCAAATGCCTTGCTCAAGGGCACTTACATGAGCGAGCTCACAGGGACAGATCATGCATGGCCACCGTGTCCCTCCAAACCTCCCTACAGGTGGTATCTTCAAACCCAGGCAGCAGATGAACACACTTTTTTTCTATTAAACTCATTCTGTGGCATATTTGCTAGCAGAAGGATCACTTCCTAAAATGTGTGCTGCTTGTGCAAGATTTATGCGTCATCCTGAGGCTCAACTCCCTCCCTTGGACAATGGAACAAGAAGGGCAAAACCCCTTTCCAAAAGGCGGTGTGGGTACAGGGCTTCCCTGCACGTAGGAATGCTTGCACACATCCCTCCACGTAGGAATGCTTGCACACATCCCTCCACGTAGGAATGCTTGCACACATCCCTCCACGTAGGAATGCTTGCACACATCCCTCCACGTAGGAATGCTTGCACACATCCCTCCACGTAGGAATGCTTGCACACATCCCTCCACATAGGAATGCTTGCACACATCCCTCCACGTAGGAATGCTTGCAGACATCCCTCCACACAGGAATGCTTGCACACATCCCTCCACACAGGAATGCTTGCACACATCCCTCCACGTAGGAATGCTTGCAGACATCCCTCCACACAGGAATGCTTGCACACATCCCTCCACATAGGAATGCTTGCACACATCCCTCCACATAGGAATGCTTGCACACATCCCTCCAGATAGGAATGCTTGCAGATTTGAAACGGACCCAAGGAGGGGTTTCAGAAGGGAGTGGGTTTCTGGACAAGCCCGGTCAAGTTATGTTGAAAGGAACTTGTTTGTTTCTGAATTACTGATGGCCCAGATGCTTTTATTTGGGTATTTGGTTCTTCTGCTCACCTATAGAGCTAGAATACTGCAAATCTTTGGGAGGTGTAACAGTTTTCCCCATTTTTCAAAGCTGAGAAATTTAGATGCTGAGCAGAAATACAAACAGAAGGAACAGAGAGCAAGTCAGTATCAGAGGACTGTCAGCCTGGAGGGCATACCAAGTTAAAGGGATGGAAATGGTTAAGGGATGTGCTTCAAAATAAACTAGGCATCAAATACACATCAAAGAAAAGTAACATACAAAATTAAATGTAATTTATAATCTAAGTTCTTTACTTAATCTGCAGTAAGGTCTTGGCAAAACAATGAAGTGGTTCCGAAGAGAGTTCTTGCTAGAACAAGCCTTGAAGTCCCCAACTTCCCAGGAGTCAAGGAGGTGACACAGAGGCAGCCAGGGGACAGGAAGGGCACGAGATGGACACAATAGGGCTGAGACCCAGACCCATGGCCCGCTGTTGGAGACAGCAACACCCACTGCATTCAAGCCTCAGCCAGGTCAATGAATACACAGGAAGAGAAGCATGACCTCATGAAGTGAGCTCACTACGTTGTGTCTCAGAATTTTCTGGCTGAAAAACCTCAAACCAAATTCAAGAAGTTTCTTTTCCCCTCAAAAAAGAATTTAGTGTTATGTAATTAGAACTCAACAGAGGGGACCTGCATGCTGCCTTTCTCACCGCCACCTTCTTCAGGAACTTAAAACAAGAACAGCAGCATATGTCCAGGGATCTAACCTTCCCCTCTGCCAAATCAAGACCCAGTGGACATGCCACATGACAACCCACAGAAACCCCCTTACATCTTAACTGCGAGGAACGACTTGCAACAGAACCGCAGCGGTGGGTGTACCAGCACGCCCACCATTCGATATGGCAGCTGCTTGGTACCTTCCCTGGCTTCCCTTCTTCACAAAACAAATTCACGTATAAAGTAAGCCATGGTTTCTGGGCTCTGGTCCAGTAGTTAGTTTTGATAAATAGATTAGGCATTACAGTATTTACACTTTCATGGTATCAAGCAATACAACCACAGTAATGGTTACTGGCCCTCAAAAGCCATGACAACAGCTTCCCTGATGGTGTCCACAGCTTTACAAATGCTGGTTCTTTCTTGCTTTAATGGGAGAAGTGGGAGGGGCACAGTAATAAGGATGCAAGGTAAAAGGGTCACATGGAAAAACACTGATTTCAAAAATCTGCTATAGTCAGTCATATTAAATAGGAATAAAATCTTGTATTTATAGACACATGTGACAATAACGGACATCCACATGACAGCAGAGCCAAGACACCCATAAACGTCTGGCTGGTGCCCCCGTGTGGCACTCCACACCTGTTGCACCACCAGGAGTGAGAAGCGCCAGACAGAGTGTCCCAGCTGCTAGTGAAGAGAGAGGCCAGTGTGAAACGTGCTGGCCCAGGCTGGGCCAGGTGGCACCGAGATAGAGCAGCTGAGAACCAGATACTGACTTCAAGGTACCTTCCTTCCTCCTTAGTCCCCCAAACACATTTCCATGCTCATACACTGTGTACAGACCTTCCCCAAGCAGATGGGGCATAGGTCGGTACAACAACATGCTGCTGTTCCCCACAGGAGGAGCAGGGAGCGTAGCATCACATTTGACCAGCTGTGACAATGCGAGGATACTGGTGCCCTTTCACCACAGGAGGGCTCTGTGGTTCAGGCGGAGGTCAAATAAAAACAAACCAACAAACCAACAAAGCAAGCAGGTCCAGGTGCTTCCAGGACAGAAAGCCCCCAGACCAGGGGTGGGAACCTTTTTTCTGCCAAGGGACATTTGGATGTTTATAACATCGTTCACTTAATTCACTTAATAAAAATTAATGTTGCTATGAAAAAAGCTCCTAGATTTATTGAATTTCGAGTCCTGCCAGAGGTTGCCTTGGCGGGGCCGGACGTTCCCCACCCCTGCCCTGGAGGCGGCCTGTAAGAAAGCTAGCATGGGTGGTGGAAGGGGGGCTGAAAACAAGGAATTGCTGTGGATTTCAGACATCTATTCCCACAGGAGGACAGGAATTTCAAGTTCAGTGACCACAGCCAGCAGTGGACATTCTCAGGGGCAAGGGGTTGGGGCTTAAATAAGGAGAGAGGTGAGACACTATATTAGACACGATCACCACTCACAACAAAAAAAGCTACTTGCAATCCGTCTTAGCTCTGGGGTACAGAATGTAAATGCAGATACACAAACATATATGTCACTGCTTGTTACTCAGCAAGAAACTACAGATCATGCCTCACTGCGGCCAGGCCACAGGGCAAGCTACGGCTATACCGTGGCCTGCAAGTCCTTGTCCGGACTCCGGCTGTTTGCGCTCTTCCCGAGGCCTTTCCACGTGTAGCCCACAAAGGTTGGACTGATGGGTAAGTAGCTGAAGCATTTGTATTTTTTAATAATGTTCATGCCGAATGGCAAATCATAGGACTCCATGCCATCAAGCGACTTGCTCCCTTTGCCTATGCCTTTCTTCCATTTCCGGATTCCTCTTTCCTCCGGAGTACCTACGGGACACACACATCAAAACAAAGCAATGGAATGAGTTTAGCAGTTCTTCCAGAAGCAGAGAGTCTGACATGCCGTCCCACAGAGCGAACCTAAAGGATGAAGCAAAGCACCCTTGACGGCACTCGGCTATCCAGGGGCCCAACCCAGAAATCTAAGAATCGCTAATCCATCTTGTTCCCGGTGCTCCATGTTCAAATGATCTTCCGAGGCCTCTACCTCACCCCGTCCTTCCACGTGATACATATTCTTACTGCAGTTTTTCCTGAGGAAGTCTGGCCCAGGAAGTGTCATTGCTTTCAAATGCAAATCTGATCTTGCAAAACGGGACCCCGAGTACTTGTTATACACAATGCCTTCATCAATTGGTCGTGGCAACCCCCCAACCCGGACATTGAGTTTTATACCGCTTCCCTCTATTTTAGTGCGCCTGTGTGTATGCTGCACTCGGCTACGCCCCACTTGTCGTGCTCCTGTGAGGATGAACTTCTACTGGTTAACACTCTGGGCTCTGACAGATGAGCCTGGTGCAGAGGAGCACTGTTGCCTGCCTCAGCTACAACAGGCCATGTAACAATATACCGCTGTGCCCCAGCCTGGGTGATGATCTTGAGTCTATGGTGCAATATTTAGGATCCTCATTATTTTCTTACATCTAAGCTATGTCTCCACCCCGTTGGTGTTTCAGTAACAAAACTGACTTTAACTTCCATCTCTGACTCATATGTCTCTCCCTCAATTAGCTCTGACTTAGGAGAGAAAGAGGGTGTTAGTTATTGACCCTCATAAATCTAACACCTTCCACCTATTCATGTATGTGTTCATCCCAGTTCCCGCAGCATCCTCTTGATTGAGGATTTGGAGGGGAGGGGGAGGTCGTCTCAATAAGACATTAAAGCTCAAGAATAAACATTACCCTTTCTTGCTGGCAGGTAAGTCTACCGGTGTTTCTGTGGCATTTACAACAGTACAGAGCAGCCTCTGTAGGAAGCTGGGAAGGCCACAGGTCACATCCTGGTCCACCACCCAATACTTGGCATCTCCCAGCTGAGAAACAAGGGTAATGGGTGTTGGAGAAATGCTGCCTCCCAACCTGTGCCACTCACAGATCCTGGCAGCAGCCTGTGCCCACTGTCCTCGTGGCATTTGGTCTTAGTTGGCTGGCACCTGCCTTAGGAAGGACTTGGACTCATTTAACGGACAGGCTCCCCAAGCAGGAGAAGTGCCAAAGACTGTTGCCAATGAAACCAAACTGCAGGGTGCTGGGCAAGGCTGTGCAGGGAGGGCAGGCAGGCTAGATTGTGCCCAGGGCAGCCCACTGCCATTTCACCCCATGCAAGGAATTTCTCTAAAAAGTAGCTCAGCAAGGAGGAAAACGGCTCGATAAGTTTATTAGCAAAAAACTGATTTCATAAAGAAGGCTGGCAGTGTCATCTTAACCACTTCAGAAAAGACAGTTTTGACCAGTGATGGCTTTGAACAGACTCACTCTTCCTGCTTCCTATATTTATTTGGCAAAAAAGTAATTCACATAAGTAGTAAGCATGTTGGACATCGACCACATACCTGGGATGGTGTTATCCAAAATAAAAGCCACACAGCCTCCTACAAACATAGCCGTTGTGAGGAGAACGTTCAGCACTTGATCAATGCCCGATATCCCTGGAAACAGAACACAGCGGTGGGGTCACTGTCAGCCAGGACGCGCCTGGAAAGGAGCGCTGGGGTGGGCACTAGCCGCCAGTCAACGCAGGGCACGGAGTGTGCCGCCCTCTTGTTCACGTGTAGTGATGCTTTCAACTACTCTGAATACCTTCGATAATAACCAGAGGGAAATCCTTAACACCTAATACGGTGAAGTCACCCTACAATGAAATGTGAAGCCATTGGGGGGTGTTGTTTGCAGATTTAAAAAGAAATCAATATAAAGAAGGCTGTGTCAGGCTGAAAAAATTACCAAGTGAATGAATAATAAGACAATTAAAATATTTGTGGTATCTGCCATCAAAAAAAGGTTTTCAGAATCCTCAGTTACTAATTTGTGCTTAGCTTTTAATTAGGAAGAACTGGATTTATAAAAATGTCCTTATGTGAATGTGATATGTAAAACCATCAAAAGCGGCAAGAATCTCCTTGCTATTAGAAGTTCACATACTTTCTCTATTTAAAACATGAGCCAGCACGTCTACTCGTAGGTGTATACCCCAAAGAATTGAAAACAGTTACTCAAAACAATACGGTCTATTCTCATTATTGGACAATTCTGTGCCTGTGGATTTGCCTACACACTAGTTTATTTGTCAGCCCAAGATGTATACTGATGCAGTCAGTCATCTGTGGACACGCACAGAGCAGTGAAAAGCCTGAGTCGCCCAACACGCATGTTCCCCGCTGGGGTCAAACAAGGTGACACTCTGCCTTCTGCTTCAGCTCGTCCTGTGAACACATGTCCTTTTAGCAGTCTATTCAGTACCACTCGCTTCACATTTCTGTGCTTTTATTGTTGTTGACTTTGCTGATTAAAATGGCCCCCAAGTGTTGTGCTGAAGTGCTGTCTAGTGTCCTAACTGCAAGAGGGCCGTGAGCTGCCTCGTGGAGGAACACGTGTTAGATAAGCTTCATTCAGGCATCAGTTACAGTGCTGTCGGCAGCCTCCCCCTGGGAGCAATGGGCCAGGATTTGCTAATTCCATTCTCACAGAACATAACTACCAAGAATGAGCACTGATTGTATTGAATATAAACTGTGATTGAAAAATAAAATTTTAAAAAATTGATTGGACTGAATATCAAATTTCATAATAGCACTAGTCACAACAGTCAGAAGGTAGAAACAACCCAAATGTCCATCAATGAATAAATAGATGAACGGATTATGGTATATACATACAATGGCATATTATTTAGCTGTAAAATGAATGAAATACTTATACATGCTAGAACATGGATCAATCTCGAAAACATGACGCTAAGTGAAAGAAGCCAGGCCCACCTCACACGATTCCATTTCTATGAAATGTAAGAAGAGAGAAGCCCACAGAAACAGAAAGCAGGTTGCTGGCTGCCAGGGGCTGGGAGAAGAGGGAAGGCAGGGATTAACTTCTTCATGGTCTTTATTTTGGGTGATGAGGTCGTTTTAAAAACTAGGTGTGAGATGGTGGTTATACAACATTATGAATGTACTAAAATGCCACTCAACCATTCACTTTAAAATGGTCAATTTTATGTTATGTGAATTTCCCCTCAGAAAATGTAAGTATGTACATATATATAAAATGGTCCCCAATTCCACATAAAATGTTGGCAGCAACGGCTATTTCTTAAGATGGTTCCCCTTTACTCATTCCCCATGACATTGGGGAATTAAAATTAAAAGGAAGGGTCTGAAAGGTTCATCTTGAATTCAAAGTAGCTATAATTCCTGTAGAAAAACAAGTATTTCAAAGTCTACAGAGCTTCAAGGAATTATAAACTTCAACACAGCCTTCGTCTGAGAAATCTAAGGTTTTACACACAGGCATTCTCCCGAAGGCGAGGGTCCTGGTGGTGAAAAGAGAGACCTTGACATGCATGTTAGCGGCATGCACACGCCAGCTCACGTGGGAAGTGCAAAGGGCTTCCAGATAAAGTGCAGCAAAGTGAGATTCAAATGAAACACGCAGGTGAACGTTCGCCAAACCAATCCTGAAGTTCCCACGTCCTCTCTGACCGGTGATGAGCTGTTCGAAAACTGGTGGCTCTGGTTCCAACACCCCTACCTACCCCCCCCCCCTCCGCCCCCCCCCGGCCAAGATTCAAGGCCCGTTTTTCCTACCTGTGACAAGAGGGTTCTGTCTGAGGTAACTTGGAAGGACAAGCCCAAAGAAGATGGAAAATCCAAGCACAAAGAGGTTCCGGGAAGAGTTTAAATCAATAAACTGCAGGTTAGAGAGTCCAACGGCTGTGATCATTCCTGGAAAGAAAACATCAGATAGCAAGTTCCAGTCACTCACACGGAGGAGCTTACACTACAGCAGGGTCCTCAAACTTCTTAAACAGGGGGCCAGTTCACTGTCCCTCAGACCGTTGGAGGGCCGGACTATAGTTTAAAAAAAACTATGAACAAATTCCTATGCACACTGCACATATCTTATTCTGAAGTAAAAAAACAAAACGGGAACAAATACAATATTTGTATTTGCATGTGGCCCGCGGGGCCGTAGTTTGAGGACCCCTGCACTATAGCATGGGGGACAGATGACTCACAGCTGCTGAAGACAGACTCCCTACAATGTCCTTCCTCTGTCCCATCAGAAACAGGTCAGAAGACCAGGCAAGGGCAGGACGGGGACGTGACGAGCTGGCCGCTCGGCTTGTGCAGAGGCGTAAGCATCACACTGTTCTAAGGCTGTAAGGCTTTCTTTAGACCACGCAGGAAACTAAGGACACGAGTCCCCCCTTGACACTTCTATGCCAACATTGCTATTAAATTGGGAAACCCACCCAAAGAGCTGGTCCCTGATCACAACTACTAAATGGCACAGAGACCAAACAGAGACCCACTCTAAAAACGGTCTGTTTTAAACAGTCCATTCAGTTAAATCACCAATTAAAGAGATTATGTCATCCTATTTTTCCTAGACTAAATATTCTACCTTTGGCTGTACCTTCAACATAAATTCAACTCAAAGAGTGATACAGATTTTTAAGTTTTAAATGTCTATCCTTTTATATTATAAAATAGAAATGTATTGCTACCTCCAATCTTACTGAAGAGATTTAGCAAAAAACCATAATCTCTATGAAAAATTAGCAAAGAAGAAGAAAAGGAGCCTCAGAGGGGCAGCCCACCATCAAGGAAATGGCCTTTTACCAAAGAGAGTGCAGAAGAGGGCGCCAAGCACAGGGTCCGGAAGGGAGGCGAAGAGGGCGCTGAACTTGCCGATCATGCCCAAGGCCAGCATGAGGGCGGCCCCGTACTGTATCACCCGGCGGCTGCCGACCTGTAGGACAGAGGCAGAGGCAGGGGTTCAGTTCAACATGAATTCCCCAGCCCCTTGGGGCAAATGTAACAAAACTCTTATTCAAAATCTAGATCATTCTAAAAATATTTAGTTAAGAGGGATCAGTCTCATTTCATGAGGATTGATCTCAATGTACAATTACTATAAATTACTATAAAGCACCCAGAGTAAAAAGATTCCCACTATCTTTCCTTGTTCCCATTGGGCTCCTTCTCCCATGACTCTGGGGAGGGGGCGGGGCAGGACTTAGTTTTGCTTCTCTGAGCCCTGGATGCTGTCCCGTGGTGTGGACCTGCTCCTAGGAGCGCTCAGGTCCTGCAGTTCGAATGCCCACAGTCACTGGCAGGGACTAACTTTTAGTGTATCAAATGCAAAACGTAAAAGCTAACTTTTGCTTCTCCATGTCCTTTGGGTTTCTAGCATCACCCTTCACTCAGCAAGTTAACCTACTCAAAGCACTGCAGCCTCAACAACCCCATCTTCCCTGAACCCTGAATCAGACAAAACCCCCAAATATTTCTGGAACCTCCTCATGGTGTCTTTCCCATTAGAGTGACACAGCCTAGAGCAGCGGTCGCCAACCTTTCAGACCTAACGGACCACCAGTGGTCCACGGACAACTGGTTGGCGACCATTGCTCCAAAGGTTTCCTTAAACCAGCGGTCGCCAACCTTTAGGACCTCATGGACCACCAGTGGTCGGCGGACCACTGGTTGGTGACTGCTGGCCTAGAGGACAAGGCACAGAATTCTCGGGGCCCACTGCCTGGATGGCATCTCCACTCCACCTCCATCCACGTGACCTGGGCAAGCTACTCAACCTCGTTGGGTGTCAGGATGCTAAACCTGTGGTTTTGCTTTAAGGGTTAAATGAGATGATGTATAAAATAGTTTGAACAGCACCTGGCAGCATCAGGCTATTGGATAGCCTCCCACTGGGCCTGCTGCCGCTGGCTTTCCTCCGTCTCTCTGTCCAGTGGTAAAGGGACCTTTCAAACACACTGGGAAGTCAGTCCTCTGCACAAGTCCTCTGGTGCTCATGAATTAAAACAAGTCTCAGGCCCTTGCACACCGGCAAGCTCCCTAACTCCTCCCCCTCCCCCAGGCCCCGCCCCATCATGCTGGGGGCTTACTGCCTGCCCCTCGGTGTACCAGGCCAGCCCTGGCCTGTCTGCCTGGAACACCCTTTCCCCCAGCCCCCTTCTGGCTGGTTCCCAGACACATCCTTCAAAACACTACCCAAATGTGACCTCCTCCGCAAAGCTTCCTCCATTCCAAGGCTCCCCCCACCTCCTCCCCCCATGCACCCTCGGCTTTTGCAGCACCACTTATCATTTCACTGTGGTCTCATCTTTATCTGTTACATCTGATCTCGGCCTTCTAGAAGCTACCATCTAGCCCACTGCACCCAGGCAGCGGAGGTGGAGATGGCACTGGGTTCAAGAACCCTGTGTTTTGGCTTCTACTTTGTGCTGCCTCTCCCAGGAAGACACACTGATACATAGGAGGTTCCAGAATGTTTGGGGGAATGTTCACTGGCTTGAAGTATGACTTACAGTGAGAAAATGGCTACTTACACTTGGGTTAATTATGGTGAAATGAAACTTAAGATCCAGTCCCTCGGTTGTACTCATCACATTTCAAGTGCTCCCCAGGCTCCTGTGGCTGGTGGCCCACATGTGACCGCACAGATGCTGAACTCTGCCCCCACCCCCGCACCAGATGCAGAACACCACCCCCACCGCACAGGTGCAGAACACTGCCCCCACTGCACAGGTGCAGAACACCACCCCCACCGCACAGGTGCAGAACACCACCCCGACCCAAGGATCAGCTGACTAAGAGTCAGTGGACTCTCATGGTGCAGATTGCTGTCTTGACTGTTTCAATCTCCGGCTCCTCCCACACAGCACCAAATGCAGGGAAGCAGTGAAAAGGGTCAGGAAACTGGCGAATCCAGTAAAAATGACCTGTGCTTGGCTGTATCACATGATAAGGAACACTTTCATTTATAAATGGCTCATTTTTCAGCAAACATTTTAAGGACCTACTATGTGACTACCACTTGTTAGACTGGGGGGTGGAGGGCAGATACAAAGATGAGTAAGTCACAAGCTTGTGATGAAAGTCTAGTACTGCTGCAGTTTCTCTGTGTGGGAACCCAGTGGGGAAAAACTGAAGAATCAGAAAGGGGTCCCCAGAGATGGTCTTGCGGGATGAATTCATTGGAGGAAGACCAACCAGGTAAAAGAAACAACCTGTGCAAAGACCACCTCCCAGCAGGGTCAGGCAGCCCTGCAGGTGTGCAAGGAGAGGGACAGGCCGGCCTCTGGGATGCCTGAAACAATAAATCCTACATGCAAACCATGCATGGAAGGATGATCGACCTTAGATGCGGACAAAAAAAACAAACAACCACAACAAAAACAAAGCAGCAATGGAGCCATTCTTGTGTTTAACGAATATGAACTGAATCCTATTATATACCGATGCTCCAAACACAGCTCTAAAACCCCTGCTTTGCCCTGGCCAGCACTGGCTCAGTTGGCTGAGCTCTGTACTGTGCACAGAAAGGTTGCCAGTTGCCGGTTGATTCCTGGTCAGGGCATATGCCTGGGTTGTGGGCTCGATCCCAGGTAGGGGGTGTACAGAAGGAAGCCAATAGATGTTAAGCTCTCACATCAATGTTTCTCTTACTCTCTCCCTCTCCCTTCCTCTCTCGCTCTAAAATTCCATTTAAAAATCGTAAAACAAAACAAAACAAAAAATTCCTGCCTCCCATTGCTGACAAAGAGCCTTTCGTCTACTTTCCTGCTGCCCACCTCCCTCCTGACCTCCTTCCTGAACTTCGGCTCTGCCTGTAGGGCCATCATTTCCGACTTCCCAAAGGCTTTGCACAGTGTGGAATGCAGCATAGGAGTCATGGTGCTCACTGTTTCTAGAAATAAACTTTGAGCTACATATGGAGGAATAGGATGAAGAAATAATACACAGTGACTATAGTCGAGCTGCCAAATTACTAAAATCAAGCTGGTTGAGGCATGAGGAAATGAGCTTTTTCTTGTTCTCATTAGCCTGGGAGCTTAAACTTTTGAACTTTCCAGTCCTGTGTCAATCCCCGGATATACATACACCAGACCTCCAGGTAACCCTCTGATGACCCCCTGAAGGACTCATGTATCCAGACCACCTGACATCCATTATCCCAACCACACCTCCTGGCACCTATCTTTCTGACTTCCTGACATCTGATAACCATTCTGGACCAATCCTAGGGCTAAGAAAGCAGGACTGATAATTGTCAAGAGTATCGTTTTTATTGTAAGAACTCTTAAATGTTCCTTCTTCTTCATAATACTTGTAGGTTTTTGTTTAGCTGTATTCCCAATCTGCAAACTCTAAGACCCTTGAATAACATTTATTTCTAGCCAAAGCCTTCAGCTCGTTTTGCGTTCACTTGACAATATCATAGGAAGACGATATCAATAGCTTACTGTATGTACACCCAACACATGGTGGACTCTGCTAAGTGCTTTACATCAAGTTATTAATTCCAGAGCCTCGCATACTATCTTGGAAACTCAGAGAGATGACCTCACATTGGGAAAGTGATGGAGCCAGGACCGAAATCCAAAGCAGCCACCACCCCCATGCCTGCCCCTCTCTGTGGACACACATTGGCACACACACAGTGGAGAAGTCCTGCCTGTGAACCTGACCCCTTAGAACTTCAGAACACAATGGGGTAAGCAGCCTCAACTCCTGATCAAGCAGGTTAGAATGTCCATGGCCATGGAAATCCATGACTGGATAAAGAGTAGCTACTATTAGAGTTGCCAGGAAACGGAGGCAGACTCTCTGCAAGAGCCACAGGTCACCCTCTTCCTATATGCCCTGGGATTCTGATGCAGGGGCCCAGGCCAGAGCCATTCGACAGAACTTTACACACTGATGGGAATATTCTGTATCTGTGCTGTCCTATAGCAGCCACTGGCCACAAGTGACCACTGAGCCCCTGAAAGGTGGCTAGTGTGGCCAAGGAACTAAATCTTTTGTTTTAACTAATTTACACTTAAATGGCCACATGTGGCTACTGACTACCATACTGGACAGTTGCTGGAAACTACCCATTGTCTACACTATCAGGAAAGTGCAAACAAGGAACCTAGAAAGCTAATGGAACTTTTGGCAAGGGCTAAACTATGCTCCGATTGTTCTGTCTAGACAATGGTGGCTCAAGCAATTTCCTGACCTAATAGTCTCAAAGTAAATCTTTACTAATATTTACTGACCTTTAAGATAGTCTGTCTGTGCCCTAACCAGTTTGGCTCAGTGGATAGAGCGTCGGCCTGCAGACTGAAAGGTCCCAGGTTCAATTCCGGTCAAGGGCATGTACCTTGGTTGGGGGCACTTCCCCAGTAGGGGGTGTGCAGGAGGCAGCTGATCGGTTTCTCTCTCATCGATGTTTCTAACTCTCTATCCCTCTTCCTTCCTCCCTGTAAAAAAATCAATAAAATATTTATTTTTTAAAAAAAAGATAGTCTGTCTGCTACCAGAATTGCTGCCTAAAGGCAATATGTGTATCCAAAATTGAATTCAAGGTTGGCAGGGCGTGGGCACCAGTGAAGCCTTCCCTCTTGAGAAAGACTCTCCGCCTGGCCCCCTGTAATTTCCAAATTCATATTTCTTGTCTAGTCTCGTCATTTGTGCGCGACCCTTCTCCGGGTCCTGAACCCAAGCCACGCAGGACGTGGCTGTCACATCCTTCGCAGACAGTGCAGACTAGAATCGTCTGATGTCAGACCTCAGTTCTACTCAGCAAAGGACTCGCCCTTCGGCTGGATAAGAGGCAGACCACAGCCCAGAACCCGCGCCTCTTTCTTCTAGACGGGACCTCCCATCAGCTACATGGCTCAGGCCACAGAGAAAGAAGGCTGCTGCCAGTCCCACTTCCCCACCAAGGCAGCTGTGCAGATGACTGGATTGTACCATCTACACAAGGCGATGAAAACCGATTCCAGGGCTGACGCTGCCCTTGAATGGATGCAGCCTTTGCCTGAGGTGAGTGACCCAAAAGGATTCAGAAGGAAAATCAATTTAACTCATTGAAAATCAGCGCTGGCAGGTTGTCTTTCAGAATAAGCTGGCACCATCCAAACTGTAATAAAGAGAATTCTTCCCCCGACCACCTCAGTCCTATCTTAGGAGGAACCTCCGCGAGCAGCACCACTTACTCCTACAGCGACCCTGTTCCTGGTGTGTCCCGAAGGGGCACAGAAAGGGAGCTGGCTCAGTAAACTGTCTTCCCCTAAGAGTCCCTTCGTCTACAATTTTATGTTGATGTTATTTCAGATTAGTTCCATGTGTACAGGTTCATGCAGCAAACTGGCTAAAGAGCGAGTGAGCCTGGCCGGCGTGGCTCAGTGGTTGAGCATCGACCTACGAACCAGGAGGTCACAGTCTGATTCCCGGTCAGGGCACATGCCCAAGTTCTGAGCTTGATCCCCGGTGTGGGGCATGCAGGAGGCAGCCAATCAATGATTCTCTCATCATTGATGTTTCTCTCTCTCTCCCTTCATCTCTGAAATCAATAAAAATACTTTAAAAATAAATAAAAGTGAGTGACTTGTGCCCCATTTGGTGTCCATGTGAGACACCCTGTGCAGCGTTGGTTCTCACCACTGGCAGCAACAGACCCAGTGGTGGCGCTAGCGGCTAGAGGAAGTGCCCATCAGGCAGCCCTCACATGCCCTGCATCAGGAGCAACGGGCAGCAGGTGGCGCCATCTGCACGCGTGAGGCTGAGCTCTGTGATGGCCCCCCAACTTACAGGAAAACCAGCGGTGTGTATTGGGCATGCCCTGCACCCTCTTACCTGAATTTACAGTCAAGATCCATCAAACTCAATATTTGGTTTCTTTTTATCTGGCTACAGAATCTCAAAGAAGACAGTTTAATAAGCCAGCATTTCAAAAATCCATCAACAACAACAGAAGGAGATGGTGGTGGGGGAGACGATCTCAGAATTGGAGGCCTTCCCTGTGGAACTCATGTGGTCAGACCGATCAATGAAATGGATCAACGCTTAGTGACCCAACCATTTAATTAGTAAAATGTTTGTACCTTAGTAATTCCCAAAACTCCAATGTTGGGACTGGATGAAGTAGAGCCATTCCCAGTACCAAATATGCCATCGAGAACACAGGAGAGACCCTCCACGAAAATCCCCCTAAAATGTAAAGGAATGGGGCAAAAAGAAACATTCATTCAATGGGGGAACACTCTGCGATAGGCTCTAAGTGGCCATGACCCAAAGGTCTGGGCCACAGATCTGCAGCCTCTGCACGCCTGGGAGGGGTAACAAGGCAGCCTCAAGCCCCTTGCCAGACCTCCATGCTCATTCAGCTTTGAAAGCACCTCTGTGAACCACCCATTAGACACAGGCGTTTAAACAGCATTCCAAATTAAAAGCTTTTAGCCAGAAAACAGAGCCATTTGTTGGGATCTAAGACAAATATAGGCCGCCCATAGATTTGATTCCTCTGCTATTAATATATAGTTTCACCAGGAAGGACATGCTTTGTAATTCTGTAAACATTAACACTTTTTAAAAGAATCAACATACAAGTATTCTAATCATATGCAACAGCTCAACTGGGGAAAGACATAAATCCAGGACTGACACCCCTTACAGAACCAACATAAGAAATGCTGCCCTAGCTGGTTTGGCTCAGTGGATAGAGTGTGAGCCTGTGAACTGAAAGGTCCCAGGTTCGATTAGGGTCAAGGCCACATGCCCAGGTTGCGGGCTCCATCCCCAGCAGGGGGCGTGCAGGAGGCAGCCAATCAATGATTCTCTCTCATCATGATGTTTCTATCTCTCTCCCCCTTCCTCTCTGAAATCAATAAAAAAAAGTTTTTTTAAATTGTAAATGTGAAGAGATGACACAGCATCCACCCTTTAGAACAGTTGAGGAAAACAGGAATAAAGGGGACATACACCCATGACCCTAAGCCAAGTGGTGGTCTCTGGCCTGTGTTTAGATGAATTTAAGGTCTAGAGTGACCTCAGAGAATGTCTTATGCAATTGTCACTGTGAACACTGTGAAGAGAAAGGGTGAGAATTCTGCTCATTGTTACAAATGAGGAAACGAGGGCAGAATTAGGGCAGTGACTTGTCCGAAGACAAACAGCCAAGGAAGAGCCCTGTTCTTGCCTGCCTCCACGCTGAAACTCTTGATTTCTTCTCCAAGATTACCCAAACCAAAGCTGACAAAGTGAGGTGGTGGGCCCAGTGAATTACTTGTGTCCTCAGGAACGTACCTGTTTATCGCATGGATGGGCGGCGGCGGGGCACAGGACAGCCTTGCGCAGGCGTAGTAGTCCCCGATAGACTCGATAATACTGGAGACAACAGCGCTGAGCATGCCAATGACACCAGCCGCAGAGATGGTGGGCAGGCCCCACTGAACTGCGGAAAGACGACAAACGTGAAATCCTCACTTCCTTGGAGGGGCAGGCAAACGTTACCGCACACCAAGTCATTCAGAACACCCAAGGACTCCACAAGGTCCACTCAGAATCTGAAGCTCACGGTGGAAACTTGATGTTTACTAGTAAACCTACATCACCAATGGCTGGATGCCTGGAAGGGCTCCTGAGTCGGATGAAGATGCCCATCACCAGGCTCGGCCTGCTCTATGTCCTTACTTAAAAGACACTGTTCGGCAGAAAGAGGTGGGTGCTTCTCTTCCTGCTTCAAAGCCAGTGTCTAAATTACAATTTAAACAGTCTGCTGTGTTGGGATAGAAGTTTGTATTTTTACGAATTTAACCCTGCTGTGCAAAAGGTCTTTAACCCTGCTGTGCAAAGTATGGTACAAACCAATGGTGCCCTTGCTCTGGGACTGGCATCAAGTGAAAAAGCAGTGAAAAGTCACCAGTTAAATTTAGATCCCAACAACAGAGCATGGGACAAGGTGCAGATAACCCTTCCCTAGTGTTCGAGCAGCACTTTCATATTTTTTATTTGTAAACCATGTTATGGAAAATTAAATGATTTATTTAAGAAAGCAAAGAGAAGTCCCCAGGTAGATTCAATTTGAAGATCTGGATTTGGTTCCTTCTTCATTAGATGTACTTGGAAAGGAAAAAAAATCTCTTTGGACTTTCCAAGCCATAAATCTTAATAAAAATACCATGAGGAGCTTTCACTGTGAAGGTGAACAGACTTCTTTGGTAAAGTACCTAGACCTTCTTCCCTGGAACCATTAGTTATAATATAGTCACTAAGAAAAAAAAAACACACAGTGGGAAAAGGAAGATGGATAAGATAAAATGGTCTCCTGTGCAGGGGTCATTAAGGTCGTTTGATGAATGATCCAAGAACAGTGTAATGGTTAGACATCAAAGGGAGGCAACCCAAACTGGGTCACAGCGAGAGGAAGTTGGGAAGGCAGGAAGAGGACAATCCCTGTCTGGAGAGGGTCTAGAGAGCAAGAGCTGAGTGGAGAGGGCATTCAGAAGGGCAGCGCCCACCCATCAGCAGGTGGGCAGGACCAGGGGGCAGGCATGTTTAGGAGGGCTCCATGCGCCACCTAGAGGCGACTGGCCTCTGTCTCAGAGGTAATGGGGAGCAACTTCAAGTTTGGGAAGAAAAAGGTGACACATGAAGTCAGATGTGCAAAATATGCCTGGAGTGTGCACGAGGACAGAACTAACTGCTCCCACCTGGGCTACTTCACTCCATGGGAGCAGACAGAGGACTCAGAGGCCCGTGGTAGAGGGTCAAGGTACACGTCCACGGGCAACGGCCCAGCACGCTCTATGCCCACCCTAAGCGGGCTTGGTCAACAGCTCATCTCCGGTGGGTTTGGAACAGATTTTTCTCATGCAGATAATTTCTTTATCAAGCAACGTTTTGTATTTTTAATATATTTTCTATGGTTACCTTGTTGCTGATGTCATGTTGTGGTTTCAGTTTAGTGTCTTGATTTAGGGGAGAAATTTTTATTTCATTTTGTTACTTATTTTTTCAGAAATTGCCTTTTACTCTGTTTTCTATTCCCCCCCCCCTTGTGCCTGAAGTCCTTAATTTTGATTTATAAGATCCTTATTCCATCTACTTCAACATTTTAAATTTGTAATCTTTTACATGTTGGACCTTTTTTCTTCAGATTATATATACTTAAAACCTTGTTGGCGTCCAGCCTTCTATATTTACTGTTGTTTCATCTCTCCTTTATTTACAGCAGGGTTTCTCAACCTCAGCGCTGGTGACATTTTGGGCCCCAAATCTGTATTTTAACAGCCAGTCCAGGAAATTCTTAGCATGCTAAAGACAGAACACAAAGACAGTGACATATTTGAAAGCTGGACTCCAAATTAAGCCAAATCCACCTGGCTTTCTGGGGTAGCTTTTCCCTGGGCAATACAGCAGCTCACACAGTTGGGGGTGACAGGACGGGAGCCAGACAGCTGTCTCTCAGCTGCTTCTCCGAGGAGCCCACCTGCGTCCGTGTTTGTGCTCCTCTCAGGAGCCACCTGCACAGGTGGAGGCCCACCCAGCATGTGGGGGCTTTCTCCTACCTGCCCTCCCAGGCCACCTCCTGGCTGCCTCAACAACTGGCTTTTCATCTCTTTATCTCAGATTAGATGTATACTTGAGCCCCGATGCACAAAATTTGTGCAAGGGGCTCGGCCCTGCCACCGGGCTTCGTCCGGAAGGACGTCTGATCTAATTAGCATATTATGCTTTTATTATTATAGATTTATGAACTATGCATTTTTTCAAAGGAGAGGAGTACATTATGTACATACATATATACTTGACCATATGATCTGATCAAAGTGTTATTTTAGAAAGGCTACATTTTTTTTAAGTGTTTGTAAATGTGTCAAGAACAGAAAGGACAACTGCCAATGTTGCCATCATTTAACAGGCGTACAACAGCTGTCTCTGACCCAGTCCTAACATTCTTGGCCTTTCCTGCTTTCTCTCCTTGTCATTATAAACGTGAAAATGTGTCTGCTGTGAGCAGGGGAATAAACAAGCTCAGGCTCTGTAACTAAGCCCCAAATGTCAGAACAGAGTCTACGCCACGGAACAACTCAGCGTTTATAACGACTGGGGAGGGGTCTTCCCAGCACCAGTGAATCCAAATGATACCTCAGCTGGGGACTGCCTCCCCCACCACCTTGCCAAGAGTTATCCAACACTTAAATCTTAACTTATGATCCATCTTCCATGCACTTGTGAATATCAGTTTACCTCTGACAGCTGGACCAAATTTTAAAAGATTAGAGTTCCCCATTATAAGATTATACAAATCCCATCATGCTTGAGCAGTTTGCTTGCTAATCTTCAGGACCCTCCCACTCCTGTCTGCTCACTTTAGAGGCTTGGGCCTGGGTACATGGCTCTGTACTTGTGTTTCTATGAGCTGCCCTTAAATCCAGGCCACCAGACCTCAAACCTGGCAAGAGGCCTCTTGTCTAGGATTTCACCCTAGTGGAACCCAAAGAACCAACTAGTTAACCTGAGAAGGGAGCTGGTTAGTCCCTGTGTGTTCATGAAGGGACAGGACCTCCCTTCTTTGGGGGTTGAATCCTCTAATGACCAGAATGGTAAGACCTACAGGGACGAGAAGCCTTCTCCTGCTGCAGAGCCTTCTGCTAACTTCCAAGGCCTCTCAGTTGCCCTCATGAGCTCCTGACCCCCCTGCCACGAGAATACTTACAGGGGTACGGAACCTTAAACCACGGGGCCACCAGAAGCACGCCCTGCCGGGCGTCTGTTCGAGCGTAGAAGCCATACTTGGTGCTGTCAGGAGGGAAGACATCTGTCACTGTGAAAATGAAGCAGAGCAGCCAGGACACAAGGATGGCCAGGATGATCTGAAGGGGTCAAAACAAAGGCTCTGTTAGCCACAGAGGGGGCGGCTGCTGCCAAAACGTATGCCTTCCTACAGTCTGAGTGCCACAGCCCAGAACCCACCACTGCCACTATTTCACTCAAAACACCCATAACAGATCTGCTGAAAGCCTATTGCTTGAATGGGATCAGATTTAGAGAGAGGAGTTGTCTGCAGGTAAAGTTACTTTCACCCTAAGTCTGGCTAATAAAATAAAGATAACGGACAATGTCCCTCAGAGGCAGCGTGAGACCAGACCGCCCTCAGTCCCAGGACAGCCAATGTCCCCCTAAAGGATTTCAGAATCGGAAGCTTCTACCACTTTCAGACTTGAAGTCCACAGCAAGTTGGGGGGGGGGGGGGGTCATTAGTACCCCAATGTCACCACACAGCCTAGGGCCCCTGCGCAGACCTGATGAAACCCTCCTTCCACTTAAACATTTTACATCATGAACCAAGGGCAATATGTCAGGAGAAAAAAAAAGTAACTACTTACAGGGAACATTTTGAAAAGCTGTAACTTGTACGCAGTCCATCCTTTCTTGGACTTGTAAATTGGGAGGGGAAATTTAACATTTCTGGCATATTGAGAAAACAGTAATACAAGGAAAATTGTCCTGAGGAGAGAGAGAAAATAAACTAGTTGCAAAGCTGTTTGTCTGTATTTTAAAATATTACTCAAACCTTCAATGGCAAAGTGATCACATATGTTCAACTCACTTCTCTAAAAAGTGGCTAGTCCTCTTAACTATTACTTGGGAAATCATATATTTTGTAAAGGCCATTTTTGAAAAGATATCAGAACTCTTTCTCTTAGCATTTCTTGATGTAGAAATGAAAGTCACCATGTAAATGCTTTGGCTAAATTTCCCAAAATAGAACAAGAAAACCCAAAGAATGCACACACTGATGGAAGAAACTCATGCTATGTCAGAGAAAAAGACAGGCTGACAGATACAATACAGAGTGGAGTGTAATTATAACTACAAACTAACTAAAAAACAAGCAACTGTCGCACAAGTGTCCGTGTACACACGCACACACATACGTGCAAACAGTGAAGATGGGACCCAAAATGCTCAGAGGAATTGGCTTCCGGTGGCAATATAATATGCAAATTTGTTCCTACTTTTCTGTATTTTCTGGTTTACTTATAAGGAAAAAAATTACTTTTAAAAAGCAAAAAAGCTTCAATATTTAAGAAACTTATATACAGTAGATTGCTAATATTAATACTTGTGAGATGTTTGTGTATGTCAGACATTATGCGAAGGTCTTCCCACCCATCATCTCAACCTTCTGCAGTAGCTTCTATAATCATCCACTTTAGATAGACAAAGTCCAAGATCATGTCGCTCAAGTTTGCAGGGTGGGTGGGCCAGGACTCTACAGCCTGGGCTCTGAACCGCTTTGCAACACGGGCCATAAGGGCTGGGATGCCTGGGCAGGTGCAGGGGCCCCTGTACCCTGACCGACACTCCTGACCCAGCTACACGGAGGGCTACAGGAGGCAGTGATGTCGGGTGCCCTCCCTGCAGCAGGTCCCGACACATCCTCAGTCCAGTGCCCGAGTGTGGCAGGTGTGGGATGGCTTCCCATCGCTGAAACAATAGAGGTGCACAGTGATGTATTTCATCATCCAGTGGGACGCGCTCTTTCACTTATAACCCGAGATAGAGTTGGCAGGAAGAGTGGGAACAAAGCTAAGCTTAATTGTTCCTGGACACGGTTCCCATGACTGAGATGGAATTATCCACTCCATTGACAGCGGTCAGTCAAGTGCGGTTCCACTGTAACACTCCTAATGAGGTGGGGGCTGCAGCCGGCTGGAGCACAGGCCTGTGCTCTGCTGTCTCCCTGCCTACCCTGGGCTTCGCTATCCCAGTGACGGGGGTGGGTCTCTGCCCTACCACAAGGTCACCAGGCCAGTACCAGTTCAAGGTTGAAAACATGCATAGTACCCAAGTGATTCCAATTTCTCTGGGGTGGTGAAGTTGAACAACAAAAATGGTATAGCAATGACACTAAAACTGATTTATTTTAAACTTAGACCAACATGAAATTTTCATGTTTTAAAAAATGCTATTGATTTATTTCAAAGTGAACATTTAGAGCCAAAAAGGCCCCATGTCTGCTATTACTATTATCACTAAAAGCCCGGTGCACGCATTCATGCTCGGGTGGGGTCCCTCAGCCTGGCCAGCAATTGGGGCCGTCTTGTCCAGTCACCCTCCCCACGGGAGGTTGGCCAGCTGTGGGTGGGAGGTTGGCTGTGGGAGCGCACTGACCACCAGGGGGCAGCTCCTGCGTTGAGCCTCTGCCCCCTGGTGGTCAGTGCGCATAATAGCTAACGGCCAGTCATCCGGTCATAACGGTTCTTTAGGCTTTTACATATATAGATTATTGCAGGTGACACCCATGTGACAATTACACCTGCACTATGGTGGTCATTTTTCAAAGCACATTTAAAAAAGAATGCTCGGCCTGGCCAGCATGCATCAGTGGTTGAGTGTCAACCTATGAACCAGGAGTTCACAGTTCAATTCCGGATCAGGGCACATGGCTGGGTTGAGGGTTCGATCCCCAGTAGGGGGCGTGCAGGAGGCAGCTGATCAATGTTTCTCTCTCATCACTGATGTTTCTATCTCTCTCTCTCCTTTCCTCTCAGAAATCAATAACAACATATTTTAAATTAATTAAAAAGGGTGAGGGCCTTAGCCGATTTTGCTCAGTGGTTAGAGCGTCAGCCCACTGACTGAAGGGTTGTGAGTTAGATTCTGGATCACAGTTGGGGCGTGTGCAGAAGGCAACCAATCGCGGAAGGCAACCAATCGATGTTTCTCTCTCTCTCTCTTCGTCCCTTCCACTCTCTCTAAAAAGCAATGGAATTGGGTGAAGATTACAAAAAAAATAATTAATTAATTTAAAAAGATGAGGGACACCCCCAGAATTCAGGGAAGGACACCCTGATCTTGGGCCCAAATCTTGCAACGCAAATTAAGGGAGTAGACTGGCAGATGAGTGCTCATTTTCTTTCCACTCTAAAACTAGTCTGCTTCTAATTTATGTTCATCTGCAAATACACCTGTGGGGCAGGTAAGCCAGGCAGTCCCACGGCAGAGGCACGAGGTGGGGGGGTGCCCATGCTCACACACCTTGGCTGAACAGAAAAGAGACAAGGATCTGAGCCCTACATCCTCAGGCCAGGGTTCTGCCACCACAGCCAGCTAGTCCTACTTCACATTTATATACGGCTTGCTTGTTGACCTTTCTTTTACCTTACAAATATTATTCAAGAAACATACACTAAAATGTAGGGAAATTATAAAAGGCAGATAAGCAAAAAAAAAAGAGACAAAATCCTTAAGATCACCCATCATCCCACCACGGGTGACAACTATGCAGCATTCTGGTCTAGTACTAGTGAACGGCTTCCATTCCTGGGATGCGTATGGGTCATCCTGGGGTTAGAAAGGGAGACAGGACAGCCTGCAGTGATCCTTGCCCTCTGAGCACAAACAGGTCATCCTCTGACCCAAAGTGGATCATACTTTACATGCTGCTGCCCAGCCAGCTTGTAGCCCTATTAATGCCAGGACCTTGAAAGATAGAGATCTGCACCAGCACCTTCGTGCTGCTCAGCATTCCATCCTACAGACGCAGCACGTCTTGTCTAACAATTCCCATAGGTGCGACCCGGGGAGCAACAGAAACTGTGACGGATGGCCCATCCCTGGCGCCTGCCTGAGTATCTCCTGATGACAAGTTCCCAGGCTAGAACGGATCTGTCAAACAGTAAATAACTTACGTAAAAGCTCCTGATCACACCGCCAAACATGAACAGAAAGGTTGGGTGAACTTACAGTACCACCCAGGGACCAAGAACACTCATCTGTTGCTCTCTGTACCACAGGGCCTTCTATTTTAAAGTCTCTACCAATTTCATCAATTAAAAAAAACTTACCATCATGTACTTTAACATTCATTCTTTACACATGAATTACTTAGTTCAGCATAGTTTGCAACAGCAAATATTTTAATCAACATTCATGAGTATCAACTGGGGAATGGTTAAAGAGATTACAGACTATTTCTTTCTATTTAACATTGTGCAGTTTTACAAAGAATGAAATAGATCTAAACACATTGTCTTGGGAAGGTGAGCCCAACAAAAAATGTTTGGGTGAAAATCAAATTATAAAATAATATAATGGTAAAGCTTTATGTGTATATATGCTTATATTTATGCATAAACAACAAAAATATGAAAGGATAAATGTTAATTTTTTACTAGTTAATCATGAGCAGGTTTTTTTGAGGATGGGAATTACTTTACCTTAGATTTCCCTGTTTATTTACTGTTAAATTTCAAATGGCTAGAATTTAATATTTGGGAGGTACAGATAAAATGAGACTTCTCATGAGTGTTTGGTGATGGTACAGGAGGGCTTGTTACACTATTCTCTCTACTTTTGAAAAGGTTTGAAATTATCCCTAAATAAAAAAAGTTTTCTCAAGAACAGTTCCCATTAAGGCCCTATGCAAGGTGTTAGAAATGTCACCACATTTACCTGCCCCTAAGTGTCTCTAAATGCCATTTCTATTGGAGTGACTAAGGGATCCATGCTGTACAACCTGATCCCCACCCTGCCACACACACACACCTAATGGAATCCTTGTGAATATGCGCTTTGATAATTGGGTAGGAAGGGTAACCCTTTTAAAACACTAATTAGCTATTTGTATTTCCTCTTATTGCTAAACTAGAGGCCCGTTGCAGAAGGATTCCTGCAAGAATAGGGCTTCCTGCAGCCCGAGCGAAGCAGAGAAGGGAGCGAAACCCACCAAGGAGGGCTTCCCTCCCTCCTCCCCTCCCACCTCGGCCACCCTGCTTGCTTCCCTCCTGCCTCCGCCACCCCGCTTGCTTCCCTCCCGCCTCCGCCACCCCGCCTGCTTCCCTCCCGCCTCCGCCGCCCCACTTGCTTCTCTGCAGCTTCGCTCCCTTCTGCAGCGCTTGGCTTCCTTCCACGTTGTCTTCAGTCTTCGCTCCGCACCTACGATGCAAATTAACTGCCATCTTTGTTGGGTTAATTTGCATACTCATCTGATTTGGCTGGTGGGCGTAGCGGAGTGACACTAGTTTGCATGCTTCTTTTATTAGTGTAGACTAGAGGCCCAATACACAAAATTCATGCAAGAGTAGGCCTTCCTTCCCCCGGCTGCTGGCACTGGCTTCCCTCTGGCACCTGGGACCCAGGCTTCCCTCCGGCCCACCTTCGTCAGGAAGGACATCTGGTCTAATTAGCATATTGCGCTTTTATTATTATAGATTTTCTTGTCTTAGGCATTGGTTAGCACATTCAGGACAACTTTAAATGACACGGTAGTAATAAGCATGCTTATCTTGGTTTCTGATTACAATAGGGAGGCCTGTTTAAGTCTTTTGTCATTAAAGAATGAGGCATTTTAATTAAAATCTTACTCATGAAAGATTATTCTATTCCCACACTGCAAACAGTTTGCGGTAGAAATATACAACTGAATTTTATTGTTTTTTGTAACTGCAGTTTTTATTAATAAAATCCACATGGACCCATAATGGTTTTATTAATAAATCTACACTAATAAAAGAGAAACATGCAAATTGGTGTCACTCTGCTACACCCACCAGCCAATCAGGATGAGTATGCAAATTAACCCAACAAAGATGGTGGTTAATTTGCATATGCAGGCAGGGAGCAAAGACTGAAAGCTCCGCCTGAGCGAAGACTGAAGACAACTGAAGATTAAAGAGGCTTGGCTTCTCTGCTGTGGCCAGAGCAAAGGCCTGGATCCCGGGTGCCGGAAGCCAGGGGAAGGAAGGCCTATTGCACGAATCTCTTCGTGCAACGGGCCTCTAGTTTTCTAATAATCATCCTTCCTTGAGGTCCTGAAATAACACAAAATTCATTGTCCTTTTATTGTATTATCTATAGCAGCCTTTTCCCAAACCACGTTGTAAGCGACATTCTTCCCAGATGTTTACAGATGTGGCTCTAAAAAAATAAACTAGATGTATGCAGAGCTGAATCCAAAGGCCCTTTCTGGGAGAATCTTCTGCACACTTGTGTTTTAAAAGATTCCAACAGCTGTCAGAGGAGAGGTGGGGGGAAGGACTGGATGAAAGAAGGCAAAGGGATGAGCCAAAGAACATAACATATATACATAACCCATAGACACAGAAACAGTGTGAGGATGGCCAGGGGTGGGGAATGGGGGGAAGTGGGCAAAGGGGGGCAATGGGGTCACCTGCAATAGTATCAACAATAAAAATAAGTTTTAAAATAACATTTTTAAGAAGCTTTACAGTAGAGAAAGATGCCTGAACATATCTGCCCTCGGCTCTGAGTGCTCCACACCCCAGGAAGAAAGAAGTTGGTCAGACTCTCTTTTTCATTAGCTCTGTCGGTATTTGCCATTAAGATAAAACTGACTGAGTCGTTTCCCTTCTTTTCTAAAGCTCCAGAAAAGTTTAAATAGTGCAGGAATTCTCTCTTCCTTGAAGATGTAATACACTCTCTGTCTCACCATTGGAGACCAGCGCTTCTTTTAGGGATAAAAGTCCTCTGACATTAGTCTCGACTTTTCCCAGGGTCATGGGTGAAGTCTGACCCCCCCTCCAGTCCTCCCCTCACTTACAGTGTGCTTACTAACTGCCTCCTCTGTGACAGACGGCGCGCCAGGTCCTTCAGGGTGCCCTGGTGATCGACACAGAGTGGAGGCCTTGCCCTCACACAGTGAACACCCCAGGTGAAAAGATGACCTCGTGGCAATGAAAAAACATGAGAGCCCGGCAGCACGGCTCAGTGGTTGAGCATCGACCTATGAATCAGGAGGTCAGGGCACATGCAAGGGTTGCGGGCTCAATCCCCAGTGTGGGGCGTGCAGGAAGCAGCCGATCAATGATTCTTTCTCATCATTGATATTTCTCTCTCTCTCCCTTCCTCTCTGAAATCAAAAAAAAACAAAAAAACAGAAACATGAGAGCAAAAATAAAAAGCTCGACAGAAGGATTTAAGATAAAGCTGAGGAAAATTCCTATGAATACAGAAAGAAGGTGAAGAGATGAAAACCAGAAGAGGGAAGCAGAGGAAGAGTTCGGGGTCCAACAGTCTAGAAGTACCAGAAAGAGATGAGCAGGAATGGAGGGAGGAAGGATTTGTGAAATAAGTCAAGATCATTTCCCACCTGTGCACACTTGAGAGCCCAGTGCTACAAAGTCCTGAGTGCCCAGCGAGGTTTCAGACAACATGACAAGCCTAGCAGCTTCCACAAGTCTAGCATATGTCTTATTGAAGCTTTCAGGAGGATGCAGAAGAGGCGGCTTTGAACAGATAATGGCCAAGCACTTTTCAGCACTGAGAACCGTCAGGAAGGGAGCAGAAGAGAAGCCAGAGACCACGTTGACTACTCGGTCAAGTGTGATCAGTGCGGTTACTATCGTCATTTTCTCAATTATCAGCAATTCTGAAGTTTCAATAAATAAGTTATATATAACTCTAACTACAAATTATTGATAACTGTTTTGTTTTTTGGTGTGTGCTTTTTAAGATTCTAAGCCATTTGGGGGTTTTGTTCACCATTTTGTTATTGATTTCTAAATTAACTATATGATGGTAAATACAATTTCTCCTTTTTGCAACTTACTGCATTTCACTGAATGAGCATTCTTACATGCCTTCTACACCAAACCTGGTGTGTGTATTACTCAACCTTCAATAAAATGAGAAAATTCAGAACAATCCTGGGTATTTTCACATACCTTCATTTGTAATGATATGTGGGTGATGATTATGCCAGGATCCACTTTATTGGTATAGCATGTTCTAACACAGAGAGGCAGGATTAAGTGTTATGGGTTTTGAAAACCAGGCCAGCCACTTACTAGCTGTGTGACCCTGGGCAGCTAATCAGTGGTTCTCAACCTTCCTAATGCCGCGACCCTTTAATACAGTTCCTCATGTTGTGGTGACCCCCAACCATAAAATTATTTTCGTTGCTACTTCATAAATATAATTTTGCTACTGTTATGAATTGTCATGTAAATATCTGATATGCAGGATGTATTTTCATTGTTCACGACCCACAGGTTGAGAACTGCTGCTTTAGATCCTTATGCCTCGGCTTCCTTAGTGGGGACAACACTGATACCTACCTTAATTTATAATACGTGCAAGTGTTATGTATAGCAGTGACGCATAGGCTCAGTAAGTGCTGCCTGTTATGGAATAATTACAGAATATTTCACAAAGCAATACAAAAACAATTGGAAATCCTCTTGTGTTATTAATTTGTTTCAGACATCTTACTGATTGGTAAAATTCCAGTCTTGGAACTATTTCACTATTATATGATCAACTCGTCTACAGACACACAAGAGAAAGTGAGTTCTATTTGTGGTATGCAGAATTCCGTGGCTCTAATTAATAATCGACCTTACACTATTATCCAAGTCCTGGACATCTTTACTGACATTACTTAAAGGGGTAAGTGACATGTTTAATGGGCTTGAAGCTCTGTGCAGAAGGACCGGCGATGACTAGCAGGACTCTGGCCTCCACACATGTGTGCAGAGCTCCGCTTGGCCTGGGAGCCATGTCTCCTCCGATACCAACAGACCCTCCTGCTGCATCTGTCTCCTGCTGGTCGGGACATACTTTTGAGTCTCCTCTAAAGGATTCTAGGTATTTTTCTTTTTTTAAAATATATTTTATTGATTTCAGAGAGGAAGGGGGAGAGATAGAGAGATAGAAATATCAATGATGAGAGAGAATTCATTGATTGGCTGCCTCCTGCACTCCCCCAACTGGGGATCGAGCCCACAACCTGGGCATGTGCCCTTGACTGGAATCGAATCTGGGACCCTTCAGTCCTCAGACCGATGCTCTATCTACTGAGCCAAACCAGCTAAGGCGGATTCTAGGTATTTCAATTCATGCAGACTTGGTATGACTTCAAAAGTCAAGAGCTAATGGCACCACGTGAAGTTTGAAACCTTACATCCTTTCCCCTACACATCACTGCCAAGTCTCTGACATACCTTGACGGCAAGTCACTTCCCAACTCAGACTCTAAAACACCATCAATTCCCTGGCACGAAGTCAATCAAGTTCAAACTGTCAGACTATTCTGACTTAAAACAAAACCTATCTCCTAAAGTCAGAATGTTCCAAGAGGCTGCCCCTTGGGGGAGGTAAGAGGGGAGAGTTTTACCGTCCACAACTGAGTGGTGTCAGAACACTTACAGCATGGCGATGCCCCAGTGCTTCCCCGCTCTCTCTCCTGCCGCCTGGAAACCAGAGAGGCCAATGAGGGCCACTGTGGGCGTAATGGTCAGGGGCCCGATGTACTTCAGCAGAGCGCCGGGCAGGCCTAAGAAGCCGATGACCACTTCTATCAGTGAGGACATGATGATGGCTCCTTGGATCTGGAATAAGAGCGGGCACAGGCATGAGTAAGCTGCTTATACGTCACTACTCAATGTCACCCACATCCAAAACTGACAATTTTGTGAAGCATCAAGTCATTATACAACTGGCATGACACGGCTGGAAATTTCCTGGTGTGATGTATGACCGGACTAATGTAAGAATAGCATTATAGGACTGGGCACTGGATGCAACTTGCCTTTTCCGCTGATAAATGAGACAGGCGTAATTAATAATTCCTAAGGGACACTGCAATATAAAGCTCCTTGACTTTAAAAAGTGAGTCCCTGCAGGACATTTAAAAGATAGCACAATTGACAAAAATGCTAAAGGAATGTTTCTATTGTACAGAATAGTTGGGCTGATTCCGAATGAAGGGTGAATGATCTTACAGGTTTTAAAAGATCTGGATAAACTGTCAGCCATTCTCATGTCTAAGGAGTCCCATGACCTGTTCTGTTCAAGTGCACTGAATAGACAATTATCTTAATTCTTTCCACAAATACAGGCACAGACACGGAGGCTGGAGTGAATAGTTCTGCTGCCTGCTGACAAGCCTCTGTAGCTCCTTCCAAAGGAGCCACGCCCCTCGGCTGGTTCCGCTGGGGGTGCCAGTGGGCAGGCCTGCGGGTGCACCAGAAAGAGGAGGGAAATGAAGGGTGAGAAACAAGACTGTCTGGCTGCACAAAGCATTTCTGCATGCTTTATGTTACAGCGATGCCATCTAAACTGAACGACGTCTTTAATGACAGAGATAAACATGTCAGTAGCTGAGAAGAAAGGGACGGCTTAGTCAAGCAACTGCAATTTCTTGGGCACAATCAACAGTGAAGCTGAGGAGAAACACAAAGCAGCCACAGGCAGGCATGCTCGGCCGTTACCTCGCGTATGCGGGGGTACCAGATGTGCTCCGTGTGCAGCAGTTCCGTGGTTCCGTTGACAAACGAAACATCTTGAAAACAAAAACAAAGACAAAATTTTTCTTGAAACAACACTGACATTTCACAAGACACATTCATTTCACTCTTTTTAAGAAGAATCTCCTCCCTGTTTTAAGTATATGTGTGTAAATACCCATCCCTGAAATTCAACAGTGTGGCTTACCATACTGAGGGGCGGGTTCCCCAGTGCTAACTTAACCAAATGTATTCATGGGCTGAAGCTCCCAGCTTGTCAGAAGCTGACTGAGCTGGTGATGCACATGGCTCGTGCCAGCCTCACACAAAGACCAACCCTTGCAAGCAGTTAACTTGCAAACCATTAGCAAGGCTGCCTAAGGTTTAAAAACCTCGATAAAACAGAGGGCCTTCTCCAGTTTCCAAATCAACTCAGTGGTCACCAAGTAACTCCAAGGAGCATGGAAGGAAATGAAAGCTGGAAAACTTTGCTCCTAGAACCTAAAAACGGAACAGTCTTTTGAGAGTACCACAGGTCTGGTTTTCTCAAGTCCCCTATCTTATCTTTTCCTGATCTTATCATTAAAGGGGAGAGGGAGGTGAAAGTCATTTGCAGAAAACCAAAGCAGCCAGATCCTTAAAAAGCAGAGATGTTTCAGAGAAGGGATGCTGATGCAGCAAAGAGAGTGATTACTGGTGGTTCATAAAATCCACTGAAAGAAAGAGGCAGAAAAATAGCACAAATATTTTTCTCTTCATTCCCATACATATCCATCTCATTAGCATAGAGAAATGCGGTCCCTTCTGGTCCTCACTTGCTCTGGGGTTAGGGATGAACGAGTGGACAGAGAGAGACAGAAACATGATCCACAGATGGGAGCACTCTAAGCTGTTTGCTGGTCTGTGTGTTCTGTGCCTGATTCCAGACAGGATTTCAGGCTGCCAAGGGCAGCATGTCCAGGCCTCCCTTTATCACCTGAGTTAAAGGACCCCAAGGACATATGTGGAAATAACTGCAATTACCTGTGGTGTTACATTTCCATTTATCTAAAGACAGGATGGCTCGAGCAGGGGCCAGAAATGCAAAAGCACTGGCCTGAAACAGGGGTAACCTAAAAGAAACGAGACCAAAACCATGATCACGGCATCAGGAACTACCGAGGTAGTTCACTATTTGATAGCTTAACAGTCTTTTCCATAGACAAACAGCACATGAGTAAATGCAGGCACACCTGGAAGAAAGAACCCCGGTCTGCAAAGATCGCCTCGGCCAGGCAGCCAGGGCCACTGGCTTCTCCATCCTCCCGTCTGCTGCTCTTCCCCCCTGGGGAGCCCTGGAGTCAGCACCAGCACCCCAAGATGAGCCCTGCCATCGCCACCTTTCCCCTTGGGGGTGGGGTGTTTTGCATTTGGGAGTCTCTCTTTCCTGCTGAGCTTGTGAGCTCCTCATTAAACATCAGTGTATGTCTTCTATTTCACCACCCTTCTCCTCCCTTTCAAATTATCGAATAGCATAGAAAAACATTTATCTTCCTGTTGTTCCATATTATAGTCAAAGACTGCCCTAAATCAGAGGTAAGCATCAAAATCATGTTAGGGTTCTACATCTATTGAGGAAAAGAAAAGCTGTAAGTTACAAACCAACAGTAGATATAATACTCTGCTTAATCATGAAAAGACTCAAATATTCTAAACCTTATTTTTAAAGGACCCAGAAAACGTGCAGACTCTCTGTAAAATCTCCTGCCCCCATCCTCCAACTAAATGCAGATACTCAGATTCCATCATTCAATTGTATTTGAGATACGTCACATTAACTTTATGAACACTTGAGCTACTCAAATTCAAAAGATGTTGCTCCAGCTGTATTGCTAAGGTGGCTTTATGGGCTAACATGAGACCTTGACCCTACTGTTAACATACTTCAGGGTAAAATGAAAAACTGGCTCCTGTTTGCAGGGCTGGGAACTCCCAGGTGTCCAGATCCTTCTTAAATACCACGAAGCAGCCTTGTGTGAGTGCCCTGGCCAGGGGGGCGGGAACCCAGCATCCCGCCCTGGGCTGACAGCAGGTCCCGCCCTGACTGAAACAGGAACTGGACTGGGAGACAGAGTGGCTCTGGCTGGAGGACAAGCATCTGCTTTACAAGTGCAGAGTCGACACACACCATTCTGAGCCAGAGGAGGGTCAAGATTCTCGTTCTCTGGCCATTTTAATCATGCAATGGAATCAACTAAGACCAGGCAGGCCGAGAGCAGGCAAGGGCCAGAAATTCAAGACACAGAGGCAGGCTGCACGGTACAGCCCAGATGCATTGCTGGCAGCCAGTCGCATGGGAATGCCCTCCACCAACCATCCCAGAGCACAGTACCGTCAAAAGTGGAAGTGGCCCTCGAAGGTGTGGCTCAGTTGGTTGGGTGCCGTCCCGTGCACCGAAAGATGGCGGGTTCAATTCCCAGTCAGGGCACATGTCTGGGTTGTGGGCTCGATCCCCAGTGAGGGTCATGCAGGAGGCAGCTGATCAATGTTTTGCTCTCACAATGATCTCTCTCTCTCAAAAATCAATAAAAAGTCGTAAAAAAAAAAAATGGAAGTGAAGTCACCTCATGTGGGAATGTAGTATATCAAAAGAGAAAAAAAAATGCTTGACTTAGACAAATTCCTTAAGCACAATTTTTCAGAAATGTACAGAAAAGGTAAAGGGAGGTCAGCATCGAGTTAGAAATGGATGCCATCTCAAATGGTCTAAGCGGCACCTGTTTTGCTGTCGTTTCTGATTTCAAGAGATGCATCTTAGGACCAGGCACCATGGGTTGCACTTAGAGAGCTTGTCCTTGGGAACCACTGCAATCAGCACTGGCTCTGGGTTCTCCTTCTGGGGCATGACCGATACTCGACCTCAGTCTGCACTTGGCCGAGGCACCTTTCTGGGCAAGCATTTATGGCGTCACCCCGACCAGAAGCCCTAAGAGCACTGCAACAAACAAACCAGCTCACTCACTTGCAAACAACCAGGACCCTGGGTTCCTCCGAAAGTGGGTGATAATTCCCGAAGTGCTGCCCGAGGATGGGAAAGGCTGCACGTGGCGGCTGATGGCCCACGCCTGGCCACACACACTGTCTGCCACAGCAGTGCCGTCTCAAAGACACGCAGCCGAGTTGCAGGAAGCAGCAGTCAGCACCCCAGCAGGTACGTGTGGTCTCCGTAACGGGCAGCAGAACTCAGCGGCTGGGCTGAATTACTCACAGGGAAGTTGCTATAAGGGCATGTGGCTGCACTTCCCCAGTTAATGGTCAACCCTCGGCTCTCCTCTCTGCACCTCACTCACACCAGCATCTGACCCTCCCCAGGTAGCCAAGACTGCCTGCCATTTTATTTTGTACTGACGACTGGGAAGGAAACCAATTAAACCCTGCCCTACTTCACACCAGGGGTTGGCAAACGGGCCCATGAGCCAAATCTGGCAAATTACCTGTTTTTATGAGTCAAGTTTTACGGGACACAGCCACCCTCATCTATTTCCGAGGTGTTGACAGCTGCTTTCGAGCTTCGATGGGAGAGTCGGGCAGTCACAACAGAGACGATAAGAGCCTGAAATATTTACTGCTTGTCCCTTGACAGAAAAAGCTGGCTGACTTTGTTTACAGGAAAATATATTTTAAATATGTGAAGAGGTGGTGGATTTTTTTCAGACTTAAGTTTTTAAAGTTGATAGTGTCACTAGATGTAAGAAAAATTCTGAGCAGATAGGCACCTTTGTCATGATACATCCCCACGGTGGGCTTTACCCCAGGACAGCAAAAGAACCTACCCAGCCCGACAACCAGCGTGGCTCCTATGAATCGGGAGGTCACAGTTCAATTCCTGGTCAAGGCACATGGCCAGTTTGCAGGCTCGATCCCAGTGTGGGGCATGAAAGAGGCAGCCGATCAATGATTCTCTCTCGTCATTGATCACTGATGTTTCTATCTCCCTCTCCTTCACTCTCCCGCTCTCTCCTTTCCTCTCTGAATAAATTAAAAAAAAAAAAGAAAAGAAACCCTGCTGGAGGTATCCCATTTCCCCCTTGGTACCCAGGTGACCTCAAAACATCCTCTGGCCTCACATCTCACCAGCCCCTTCACACACCTGCACTCCAAGCAAATTGGTCCAGGTTCTTGCCTCTGAGCCTTTGCGCATCCCTTCTCTTTGTCATCATTTCTAATATTCAATTTTTATTCATCATTCAAGGCACAGGCAAATACCATCTCCTCTAGGAAATATTCCAAGATCTCCTTCTTGGGATTTGTGATGTGTTCTTAGTCAGGACTCTCCGGCCATGATTTCTATAAGTCACCCACCCCCAGGTCAGAAAGCTGGTTTCTGATTCCCCAGGGGTCACTGGTTAAAAATGGATAATTTTGGCCCTAGCTGACATGGCTCAGTGGTTAGAGCATTGGCCCTCAGACCAAGGGGTCACAGGTTCGATTCCTGGTCAAGAGCATATGCCTCAGTTGCATGTTCCCTAGCTCAGGTCAGGGCACATGTGGGAGGCAACCAGTCGAAGTGTCTCTCATCTCACATCATTATTTCTCTCTCTTCTCTCTTCTCTCTCTCTCTCTCCCCGCTCGCCCCTTTTCTCTCTCTAAAAATCAATAAAAAAAATCCTCAGGTGAGGGTTTAAAAAAGAAAAAGAGTATATTTCTGATCTTACCATTTGCAACAACACGGATGTACCTAGAGGGTATTATGCTAAGTGAAATAAGTCAAAGACAAATACCTTTATGATTTCACTTAAATGTGGAATCTAAAAAACAAAATAAAACAGAAACAAGCTCATAGAGAACAACTGATGGTTGACAGATGGAAGGGGAATGGGGGCTGGGTGAAAAGGGTGAAGGGATTAATAAGTACACACTGGTAGATACAAAATAGTCAAGGGGATGTCAAGTACAGCCTAGGGAATAGAGCCAGTGATACTGTAATAACTATGTATGGTGCCAGGTGGGTATTACACTTATTGAGGGGATCACTCATAAGTTACATGTCTAATAACTATGCCATACACCCAAAACTAATATAATATTGACTGTCAACTGTAATTTAAAATTTTTTTAAATTTTAAAATAGAAATTTCTGAATTCCACTTAGTCCTGGTTAACAGGAGTCACATGTGGGGTCCTCACATCTGGATTTTGAACAATGACTTCTGGGGGTGGCTGAGGCACCAAAAAACAGACAACCCCTATGTCAAATGAAAGGATTTATTCTGGTCACTTGATAACCATTGCTTGGGTGTCTGCTTAACACATTATAAGCAGGTATGATGATAGAAAAAACTATCCTTAGGCCGTTGAGGAGTTTCTGTTGTGTGAAGGAGACACTAATTGTGGCCACACGTGAAGGGTGGTGACAAGGCGATGCATGGTGCTGTGGGAGTCTGCAAAAGAATCACTTAGCATAAGGATGAGAAGCACGCCATCACATGTGCAAGGGGTTGAGTAGTCCAGGCAGAGAGAAGAGCAAGTGTAAATCAAGAGCTACAAACAGACCTGAATCCTAGAGAACTGCAGAGACCTTACTATGGGGAAAGCGGGGATTGGAGTGGCGATGGTCAGAGGGGGCCGGCGGGCAAACACCTGGCTTTCCTCTTTCAGGCCAGGGGAAAACTACTAGAGGGCCCTGCTCTGAAAAGTCCACTTTGGGAGAACTGGGAAAGCTAATCCTTACCCCCAAAGCTGTTCTCTGAAGGCATTCCGACAGGGTGTGGCCTGGCATCATTTGCGGTCTCACTCATCCTATGGTGTTGGCTCAGATGAGCTGCCAGCCCCCAGCCCAGGGTAGGTCTCTGCATGCAGCTGGGCCTCTGTCCGCTCCCCTCACAGCACTAAAGCGATCTGTTCAGACAAGCTCCCTACATGCTGATTTCACCCTGTGGGCTGAAGTCGCCCTAACAGCGGGAACTGGGACTGTTCCAGCCATCACTGTATCCCCAGCACCAAGTTTAATAAATAATAAACTGAAGGTGCTATTTACAAATATTATTGTCTGAAAGGAATTTTATTAGAGTAAAAATAAGAGGCTAAGTCTTTCCGCATGTTGATTTTAACTGCAAATTTGAGAGAGGACTTT